GGGGGGGGGGGGGGGGCGGAAGAGCACTTCTGATTCAGCCTGTGAATCTCTCTCCTTAATGTTTGCCAGACTTTCTTCTGTCTTTCTCACACTGCTGATGTTAGACTTACTGAAGTCTTATTTAGCTATTTTAATTATTGCAACTTCATACTTCTCCTTTAAGCTTAGACTCTGTCTCATTTTGAAGGTATTCTTTGAGCCTCTCCAAAGCACAGAACCTACTACAATTTCTCCCCTGCAGCAGACAAATGTATGTACTGTAGGCATTCAGTATACACATACCTTTCCCTACTGGAAAGTGGAGCCAACTCCTTTATAGGTTAGAGAGTTGCAGTATATTCTGCTCAGCTGTGTTGTCAATTAAGGGAAAGGAAATCATATGTATATTTAAGTTCCATTTAAAAGCAAGAAAAGTGCAATTAGAGTTAAGATCTCATGTGGTTTCTCTGTTGCATTGTACATGACTTTTGTGGCCCTGTACATAGCCATCACTGATTATATTTGCATGATAATTAATAAAATTGAGCATAGTGAAAAAGGTAAAAATAAAAAGATTACCTGGATTCAATGGCACAATGATCTTTTTTAAATCTTGCCCCATCCTGTTATATTTATGAGTAAATAGTGTTGTTATAACCCTCAAGACTGAAATACTGTTGATAACAACTTAAGCAATGAAATAAGGGAGTGAAACTTGCTCTTATTAATGCTTTTCTGTTCTTAGGCAATTTAAGAACATTCCTAAACCCCACAATATTTCATTTTAGAGTACTTAAGGGAAGGCAGACTACTGATTGAAGAATACACTTGTTTGGAATTTAGGAGAGAAGAGACAGGTTTGCCTAAATGGGAGCTGAAAAAACTGATGAAAACAGAACAAACTTTAAATGACAGTGTGAAAGAGAACGATCAAGAGGAAGATGCAACGCACGAATATGAACAGGAAGAAAAAAAAGCCAGATGAACAGCTAAATAACAGTGAGAAGGCAGGGAGTAAATGTGTAACTCCAGGTCCAAGGAAAAAAACACCCATTAGGCTGAAAACACCCCCCATATTCTCAGAAGCCACTGAGAAATTGCATCATGGGCTTCTTACATCAGGTACAAAATCAAAAAAAGCCAGGTTTTGCAACCATGGATGTGCTGGTCAGGACTGCAGTGAAACAGCTGAATCAAAAGTGAAAAATTTCTTTGGGCTATATGAACCATCTTTTCATAAAGCTACCAAAACAAGGCAGAAGGACAGTTCCACTGAAGCGGAAGGCTGCGCTCATATGACATTTGCTGAAAGAAAAATGTCTTATGAAAGAACTTTGGACCAGGCTGTGTTTGAAGAGACAACCATTCAAGTTCTAACATGAGAGGAATGAAGAAAGAGAAGTGCAAGGATGCAGGGTTATACAAGTCAAATTTCAAACCACCACTGCTTGTTCATAACGTAAGGCATCTAACACTAATGAAATCATTAATAACCTAATTAGAATACACTATTTTATTTGATATTTAGTTAAGTATGTCAACTTGTCTTTAAAAATAAGGATAAAACTTTTTAAAAGAAGTTTTTACCTTCATTAAACACATATCAAATCTTACAGGTACTGAGAATTTCTCTCAATGATTTTTCCAAAATGATAGTCAAATCAGTTGTCACAAAAGAACATTCTTCTCTTCTTGGTCCGTGTGCATGTGCATACATGCATCTGCAACTTCCTTAGAGTGCCTTAACAGTTACAACATTTTTACCTGCTTTCAGGTGTCCAAGTGAGTCCCTCGTTCTGTAATTTTTTTTCATTCTCTCTGCAGTTGGAATTTTGAAGCTGATTATTTGTTAGCTAGCTGAAGTGTGCAATCTGCTTTCATAAGGTTCATTATTGGGTTAGTACCAACAATGCAATAAAAGAAAATAATTTTTTATTTTCTTCACTCCTGAAATAGCTTCCAGAATTCACACATAATAAAAATAATTTGCTATTACATTGTTTTCACTAGCATTATAAAGCTCTAAAGCTTCATTCTTTTCCACTGTTAGAATTTATCAAAGCAGTTTGCCTGGTAACTTCCACAGCTGACATCCAAAGATGAATGTGCAAGAGTAAACTATTGTTTTGGAGAAGTCAGGCATATCCAGTTCTCAAAAAGCCTTTAAAAATCCTGTGTTTAAGGTTATGTAAGCGGGGGTAGGAGGATTATGTTTTGTTCCTCATAGTAATTCATGAAACACTTGCTAAAATGATGCAAAGTTAGGGAAAATTATGTGTGTCCTATTAATTTTAAAAGGCAGTAGCACTTAAAAAAAAACCCCCAAACTTCAAAAAATTATACTGCAAAAGTTTTTAAAGGTGATTGATTTTAAATCTGAACCTACTTGCAACATACTTATATTCCAAATTTCAAAGGTTTTTCTTGAAGTCATGCTTAAACTGTACAGTAGACAGGTTTCAAAGCAGGACTTTGTGCACTCAGAAAAGTAGGTCTTTCTCCTCAATGAACTATTAGCATTTCTACAGTGCCTTTACTGCTGTCCCAAAGCTAAGAGCAAACAAGAATGCACAGTCCAGTGTCTCCTGTTTGTACTGACTAGGTGACCAAAAGCCTTTTTGCCCTTAAAGACCCAAATGCTTGACTAGAGCAGCCAACAAACTGTGTTATCTGATGACCCCATGCTAAGTGTGGGTAAACAGCAAACACCAGTGTGAAGATTTTAAATGATGCTGCTTTTCCTGATTTCACTGAGTAACTCCGTGACAAGCTAAGTAGAAATATCATTAGCCACAGTTTTAGATTCAGAAATATGTCAATGTCATAGTTAAATAATCTGTCCTTAATACTTTAGAAAAATAATTAAAAAATAAATTAGCCCTGTTGATTCCAACAGTATCTCCTTATGCAAGAACATGGGGCCAGGGGGGTTGTTGGATTGGGTTTTGGTTTTATTGTTTGGGGTTTCTTTAGGAAAACTGTAACATTGAAAAATGGATTAGAAAACCTGAGATGGGTTGAAAAGCTTTATTTTGTTAATAAAAACACAATTATACATAACATTCAATCACATTCAATCAGTTTTTCTTGATGATATTTAATGCATCTGTTTTCATGGTGACTAAATGTAATCCCTAACATAAACCCAATTTGTTTTAAAATTAATGTTAAAAAAACCCAGCCCACATTTTCATGCATATATACACACAATGTGTCATGAACTTTTGAACTGATTTCTAAAAGCAGTGCTAATTACGGAGGGGCCCTAGACCCTTCCATCCTGCAGGAAGGCAAAGGACCTGAAATAACAGATGCATTCCACTGTACAGAGTGGGAAGCTGAACCAGAATCACCAAAGCCCAGCACGAGCGGGGAAGGTGTCCCCTAGAGCTGTGTCAAAAAAAAGAAAAAAAAAGTGTAACAAGAACTTTATAAACCCACCCATCTGTCTTGTGGTGCAGCAATAATGGGGTTGCAAATTACTGCAGTGTGGAAGATAATGGAATTTTGTCAGTGTTCTACAGGCACAGTACTAGGAAGAATTCTGTCCTCCTTTAATTTGAAAATACTGTGGCTGTTTCCTGGACCTAAACACAGCAAGAAGCATTTACTCCAAAATGAAAAATTGTCTTCCCTCCTCCTCCTGCCTGCTACCACTGTTACTACTTTAGACATTTAAATCACTAATTTGACTTTTTACAGTATCACAGCTGTTTCAGGTTCTCCTGGACTGTCATTAATGTATGCTAAATGCCCTTAAAATGCAGTCCTCTGAAGGAACAGCACTGTCATTTACCTTCTCTTTATTAACAACCTTTCCTCCCAAAACATGAAAGGAAATAGTTTCAGTGATCCTTACTCAGTCTGGGAAGCAGAAAAAAATGTCAAGGAAGGAAAGGACAGTTATCAATAAAAGTAGAAAAAATTCAAGTGTTCAATCAATTTTAAAAGTCAGGGGGAAAGAAGTATCCAGACATACTGTATTTGGCAATGGAGAAAGTCTGTTAAGGAGATAAAAAGTTGATTTTGCATATATATAAATAACACATTTTCTAAGACAGCCCAAGAATACACCAATGCTAGTGTAAAAAATAATACAGAGGAAACAGATTCTGGTTTACCCTAAGCCAACCAAACCACCTACCTATATCCTCTAGTACCAGTTGTCATCAAATGTAATCCCACCTTTGGGTGAAACTACCATTACTATACAGCAAAGAAACAGCAAAGCTCCCAAATTAGTTCCTAATGGCAGGGAATTTCCAATTTAAAAACACAAATCCAACACTTTTAGATTTTGATGAATACATGCCATGACAAGTCCTACAATTTTGCCATGAATCATACTTGTTGAAATAGACCCAAAATGAGGTTCTACAAACAGCGATGCTATTCTTTGAAAACTGACCACCAGACTGAAAAACAGACTAAGGAAAGATAAAATAAATCAAAAGGAATACTGGCTATACACAAATGAAATAGCAAAGATTATCTCAGACCTAGTGTCATGAAAGACAACTGTTCCTTCTTTTTTTGTATTAATTTAAAACAGTGATCATGAAAATGTAGTTGAGGACTCCAGGGATTACTGGGATTCCTTCAGCTGAAAGGATGTAGCATGATAGCTACAACTTTATTGCAAACCACAAGCCAACATGTAATTCCAACACCACCTGAAAGAGATACAAACCATGATTTAAGTGATTGCATCAATAACCCTGAAGCACACATGCATCTGAAAACAACTTCAGAAGTGTAAAAAACGAAACTGAGAGAGTTATGAGGTGAACATGAACAAAACATCTTTCTTTTATGTACAAATGTCTCTCTTCAAGGGATGGCAGCTCACTCCATGCTGGTCCTGAGAAAACCTGAAGATTGTCTGGGGAAAAGGGGACCAAATACACCCCAAAATGTGGTATATACAACTCAACAGCTAAAAACATCTGCTGTGTACCTAACAGAAAATGTCTAAGGTGCTGAAGTTAAAGGCTTGGCAAGTAACAGAATACTTTGCTAGAACCTAAATTAAAGATTTGAGAAACATAAAAAGTAAATTTCCTTCTAAATTTAAACCAGTTTTTTAAAAGGTATTAAATCCATACCTCTCTCCCCCTTTCCCCTTGCTCCCCATACAGCTCTATAGCAACTGCTACTGAGACCCTCGCTGTTGACCCAGATGCCCTGCAGGGCTGTTTTAAAGGGTCCTTGCATTCCAACTAGCAGCCCAGAAGTCTGTGGTGGTATGATGGGTGTGACCTGACTGTAATACACAGCACATCCATATTGCAGACTCCATAGTGTCATGGAATACAAAGCTATTAGTAGCACACGTGAAGAAACAACCTTTTTGGTGATTTTTAGACATTTTTGTGTTTATCACCTAGAATTCAAAAGCAATCTCTTTACTGTGATTATCAGCCAAGACAAAAAAAAGGAGACTTGAAGGCAGACATGAATGTGAACCTCTAAGTCCCTTCAAATGCTATTTAAAGAAATGTCTTCCAAGGACTGTTCTCCCACCCTGCACAGAAACACTCTTCTCTTGTCCAGTAAGTATGCTGGATACAAATAATTTTCTAGGCAGCTATTAAAGATACAACAGCACACAATTCCAACAAGGTATTTTGGAATCCCTTCTAAGGTAGTTAGGAATTACAAACCTAAATGCAGATTCAGCAGCAGCATTTAGCTTGAAGGAAAATTTCCACACTCAGTTGTCTTGTCTTTCTGCCTGTCTACTTATCCCATTATCATAGAGCCAGCACACTTTTCACTCAGAAACAGGGGCCTACAACCTGTGATACCGTTCTGATCGTTAATTCCTTAAACTGCCCAAAAGAAAAGGATTTACATAGGTAAAAATGCAACAGGTGTGATGGGAAAGAGAGATGGGACCAGGCAAGACAAAACGCCAAGAGAGAACATACCTAAATCACTCTGGAGTTACGCTGCTATGAAACCCCAGCTGTTTATAAGAAGCACATCTAAAGTGATACAGACCTGTGAAGTATCTGCCCATATTTAAACCCAATTCTACAATTTCAGTGGACTCCTTAATATAAAAATATTTCTGATTTTAAATCTTCTCCAGGGTCTATTCCATACAGATAAAGCTGCTGTTTGAGAAGAAATAAAAATGACAAATAGCCCATTTCATTGTCAGTTAAATAAAGAATTGAAACGGCTAATCAAATGTTTGAAACTCCTCCCTGTAATAAGGAGTCAGAAGAAACGTACAGAAGCAGCGCTTTCAATCTACGTATGCTCTTCATCACCACATTTGTTACTATCTGCATGGGCAATGTTCTTTTTCGAGCATGCAGTCCTTACCTGCCACCCCCGTAGGAAAGGCTACCAGGCGCTCCAACGGAGCAAGCCATTTGCTTGGAAGCACTGTAACTGGCTCAGAATAGTACTTCCAAATCAGTGAGATCATCAAGGCAGCCTAGAATTGAAATTTTTATTAGCTTGGATAATAATACACATCAAAGTACACTTCTGCTGCTACTCTGAAACAGTAAATAACAAATCCTAATTAAATGGAATAGTTTCTTTGTTATTTTACATTTTCTTAAGCAAGTTCAAAATATTTTTAAACTCAGAGTGACCTTAAATTTATATACAATATTAAGAGGCAGTGGTAAATCCTGCTATCTTTTGAGATCCTGGTTCCAATCTAGCATAGACAAACATAGTAATAGTAATTGTTAAATTCTGTTGACTATTTTTAGTCATTATCCTTTCCTGCTAGGAATCCAACTGGCTCTAACATCACCCTAGGGACATCTTCAGGTTGACCACTGTGATCCTTCTTAGCAGACAATTCTTTGGCATCGAGTCTGAACTACAAAGACAATCTGATGAGGCACCAGGGGGAAATGTGTAGCAACTGTAAATGGAGATTTGCATCCTCAGCAAAAGCATATTTAGTTTTCAAAAACATAAGTAAAATATATATGCATATGCATAAGTAAAATATATATGCATCGGAGCTTTTCTGGGTTCAGTGCCACACACAAATGAAGAAACCCCCACTGATTGAAAAGCTAAGACAAACCCCTATCTTGTCATCTCAAAACCAGAAACACGAGGCTAAAATAAAATTCAAAACTTCTTCTATCCACAACTTTTCCAGGAACATCTCTCCCTTCTATTTCAATAAACTCTTTTGGTTTTGCATGTGCTCTGTTGTTGGAATGTCAAACAGCCATGTAACTAATCATCAGCCAATAAATGCAGGAAAGAATTGTAACACTACTGAGGATTTGGTTTAGTAATTTGTATTCATAATAAAATATTTACTTACTTGTAAGATGTAGAATACAATATTTATGACCCACTTTATTTTGGCTAATTGGGCAGTTCGTGCTTTCACTGTTAAAAGAAAAAATATTACCCTGCATTATTTTTAATAGTGAATTACATTTACATAAAACTAGCAATTTATTAATACTTCACTCTTCAAATCAGGACATTACACTTTCTAAAATCTCTTTTGAAATGACTTAGCTATATTGAAAGCACCCTTCTGCAAGGAAGCGCTAGGTTCGTATCACACCGCAGTTTCTCATTAATGCTACTATGAAAAGTTGCAAAACACTGACATCCTAGACAGAAAAATGGCACACGTAATCAAAAACCACTATTCCCAAGTGAAAACAGGCACTGCGGTTACTAATTTGAGAACCTGCTTTAGATGAAGCTTAAAGTAAATTTTTTCCCTTTCCTAAAAGGGGAGAATGATGGCTTTAGCAAATGCACCTTTTTCTTTTTATTTCATTCAGGAACACAGTTAAGACTATTCCTTCACTGAATGAATCTTGGTCAGGTTCAGTATTAAAACTTCTCACACCTATTTTTCCTGTCACAGTACCTCAGACTACTATAAAAAAGCTCTGTGAAGACAGCACGTCTTCAAACACAACAGTGGTCTAAAGTTTTCTAAAGCCACATTGCTGGTTGCTAAGTAAACTATTCAAGTCTAGTTTAACTGAAATTATTGGGTTAAGAATTGTAAGCAATCCAAACCTTCCAGTTGTAAATATTGTCCTTTCTCTAAGCAAGGAGCCTACAAACATCCATGCATTCTGCACAGAGGGGGCAGGCAAAGCAAGCATTCTCCTGTCCTGTTAGGATTAGTTACTGAGTTTGGGCAAAAGCAAAAGCCAAAGCTCTGGTGCCAAAGGTTTATGCGTACTTTCTACTACGAGATGATGGACTATACTACTGTAAATTTCTAATTGCAAAGCACTATGGCTTTATCACAAAAGTTGCTGCATGAAATCAAACAGGACTGCAAAATGACAGGAAATATCTCATCTGGTTACCTTATAGATCAATGCTTCCTCACTAACATTTTGTAGCGCACCAACCAAATAGCCCCAACCAAGCAATGCGTCCTATTGCAGTGAAGATACGGAGCAGAGGATTTCCTTGACTTAATCAAAACATGATTCAGTGATGAGTATCACTGAGAAAGAGTAAATAATTACACAGTGAAGACCAGGATATTCTTTGAAAGAAAAAATGTATATCAAAATCACTCCCTTATCAGTGTATGCAGAACTATGCACAACTGAAAGACAAAACCAAGCTCTCCAAAAAGTTTAAAGGGAAAAAAAAAAAAAAGATAGACTAAAAGAAGGGAATGCTGGAAATGGATAAGGTGGTGGGGAGGTTGAAGAACTTAAAACTGAAAACACTCTTGACAAAATGTTTTTCAGACACTAGAAAAGGGAGTAAACATTGCACTCTACCATGAGTTTTAAGCTTGTCAGTCATTTTGTTAATCTTTCTTTCCAGACGGGCGTATCTAGCAAACTCATCCATCATACTAATAGTTGAGAGTTCTTGCTTCATGTTCTGAATTTCAGCTCTCATTTGGGATTCCTGCTCTGCATCCTTTTGTAACAATTTTGATATCTACGAAGTAAAGAAATAGTATCAGTTATTTATCCAGAACTCCATTGATTTTCTTTACTATGTATAAAGTATGATCTTCTGTTTACATACTCAAAAGCCTCCCATAAATTAAGGCCCTTTCATCTAGACTCAGGAAAACCTTGGCTTAACATCTGCAATGTGTTCTAAAAGCCAAAGAATTCTGACTCTCTTGTTCTGACTGACATAAACCAAAAAAGGTTTTACCATCCCTGCAGGGCAGTGAATTTCAACTTTTCTAACTACAGTTAACTGCCTTTTCCTTCTCTATTTCTGTTTTCATCTCTTCATCTCCCCCCTCTCGATGCCGCTGCTTTCTGAGACCTTCCAAACCTCCCAGGCCCCACCTGTCTCTGCAACCTGAGCTGAAGTGCTGTCCTCCCTCCTTGCAAGTCTCATCATGTGGCACTTGGACGACAAGCACCTGGTATGCACAGGAGAGGAAGGATGAGCAAAGCACTCCTTTTCATCACTACCCTTCCAGCTCCACAAATGCCCCTTATTCAGTCATCATTCCCATCTCTAGTTCCAGCGGCCTCAGCAAGGGTCTAAAGTAATTAATGTGGAAACTTTATTCACTGAAGCCCAATTTCAGACCTCATCAATAATGCACAGCTCACCAATCAGAAATCATTCCCATAGATTACAGATTGCCTAGGCCGGGCTGTTAGAAACACACAAAGCGCCGTACGGGCTAAGAGTCGTGATCCATCTAGTGCAGGACCCGACCACTGCTTCAAAAACAGAAAGACAAATTTGCCTTACTTATTTTTCTTACATCTTAGCCATGACTCTAGATGCAGTTTTCTTATAACATTTCATTGGTTTCTTGGCTAGAATTATCTCCTACTGACAGAAATGTAAAAAGGCAATCACACGTTGTGTTAGCAAACATTTTTCTCCCCTTCCTTTACTTTTCTACTTTCTTTCCATGAGGCACCACCTGCTTGTTGTTTCATTAACTTTTACCACAGAAATGAAGATACAAAGAACATCTTTTTCTTGCTGTTTCTTAGCAAATCTTTCTAGCTTTCTCAAGACACATGTAATTTTTTTCCCCACAAATGATGCTCTCAGTACTGCAGTCGACAATAACATTACATTTACTTTGTCACAAACCACAGCAGAAAGTTGAGCTGAGATTTTCATTAGTCATTTGTAGTAACACTGAGTTCAGCTTCCCAAATTGCTATGAGTAATTTAAGTTTTAAAGGATTTTTATCCATTATCGAACAGTGTGCACCGATCTGTGTGACGGTGAAGTTATTGGCATGAAAGAGCAGAACAAGAGGTATTTTAGCTTGCTTGATCACATGTAAGGTTATTTGGCAGCCACAGAGTTTATTGGCCTGTAATTCCATTATCCACACTTCCACAGAAATGCTTAAGATCGGACCAGGGTGCATCCTGATTAGTGACTGCTACTTCTGGTTTTCTCCTGTGATGCCTAACTCCTTAATCTCTGCATCCACCGATCTCCCTTCTCAACAACAGAGATGTCCATCTGTTGCTGGAAGACCGACCAAAGCTGTCCTTTATATTCCCTACAGCGTCCCACGGGCTGGAGACTCAGGAGCATCATTTAAGACGCTGTTAACTCATCACCCAGGGCTCTGCTTCCAAGACCTGCTTAATGGCGGCTGCCGCAGCCTCCCGCCCTCGCGGGGCCAGGCCCCACGGTCTCCGGTCCTTCCCGGTATCAGCCTCTCCAGCCTCTCCTCTTCTGAGGCGAGGAGCAGGTCTAGGCCCCGCTCCTCACAGCTGGGGATGCGTCGTCGGTACCGCCGGGCACCGCTTCCCCCCGCCACCTCCC